GCTGCCCACTCTCCCCGGCCGGGCGGAAGTGCACGCAGACGGCGCCGAGAACGTAAACAAAGGCGAGGTAGGCGCGGGGCACGGGCTACGGGCTACGGGCTAAGCTAAAGCTAACACCACACCGGCTGCCTTTACCCAGTATTTTCCTCACCAATGTCCGTTCTCTGGCAAACAAAATGGACTTAAAGACAGTCCTCCCCAGATTCCACCAACATGTCTCCTGCCACACCAGAGGAGACAAGACTTTAGACCATGTGTATTCCAACCTGGCTGGAGCCTACAAAGCCACACCCCTCCCCCACATTGGACAATCGGACCATCTCTCCCTGTTCCTCACACCTCGGTATTCACCACTCATCCAACGTGTGAAACCTGCTGTGAGGACAATTAAAGTGTGGCCAGAGGGGACAGACGCAGTGCTCCAGGACAGATTTAAAAACACAGACTGGAATATGTTCACCCACACAGACCTGGACCAGTACGCCTCATCTGTACTGGATTACATCTCCAAAACCACAGACAGTGTCACCACCCAGACACACCACATGTACCCACCAAAGCACTTATGCACTCGGATGTTCTCTCCATCCTGGAACCGCAACACGCCTTACGGCAGGAGATGCTACACGCTACAGAACTCAGGGCTTCAAAGAAGGCTCAATAAATAGCCAACCCATTACAAAAGGTCAGAAACTTCTCGCAACTGCAAGACCTGGGCACAGTGACCCAGACGTGAACAGACACAGGACCACCAACCCCCCGCACCTCTGAGTCTCCTTCCTCTACCACCCAATGATGTAGGAGCGGTGCTGAGCAGGATCAATGTCCACAAGGCTGCAGGTCCTGATGGCATCCCCGGGCGTGTTCTCAGAGCTGTTCTGGGGAGCTTGCAGGAGTGCTCACAGACATATTCAATCTGTCCTTGGCCCACGCTGTGGTACCGGCCTGCTTCAAATCCACCTCCATCGTCCCGATACCCAAAAACTCCAACCCATCTTGCCTCAATGATACCGCCCAGTAGCACTCACCCCCATCATCACTAAGTGCTTAGAGCGCTGGTCCTAGCACACTTCAAATCCTGTCTCCCCCACCCTGGACCCCCACCAATTCGCATACCGCCAGAACAGGAGCACAGAGGATGCAGTCTCCATCGCACTGCACTCTGTCCTCTCACACCTGGACAACAACAACACCTACGCCAGAATGCTGTTTATAGACTTCAGTTCAGCATTCAATACAATCCACCCCTCACAACTCATCAGGAAACTGACAGACCTGGGCATCAGTTCCCTCATCTGCAAATGGTTACTGGACTTCCTGACCAACCGCCCCCAACATGTCCGGCTGGATAACCGCTGCTCATCTACATCACAATGAACACCGGTGTACCACAAGGCTGTGTGATGAGCCCTTTCCTCTACTCCCTCTTCACCCACGACTGCAGACCTGCTGATGGTTCCAACACCATCATTAACTCTCCTTTTGTGACGGCAGCCGACCTCACCGCCGCCATCTTATAATGCCACACCGAGGATGTGGACAAGTGGGTGAAGAGTTTGTCTCACAGACAGCTTACCAAAACAGAGAAAAAAAATCCTTGCAAAAGGATAGAATTTGTGACACTGAGGCAAATCCCTCTAGTGGAACTGATCACAGCCACCGAAACTGCAATTCGATACAACAACATTGCAGACGTGGAAGCAGAGCAATTATGGATGAAAGTTTCAGCCTGTCTCAGCAATGCAAAGCCCCCAGCATCCAACATCAGCATGGAGAAGAGGAAGGCAATCCCATCAGTTAGTCATGACAACAACATCATTATCCTTCCAGCAGGCAAGGGTAGGTGCTCTGTGTCACTAAACCAAAAAGGCTATGATGAAAAAATTTTGTCACTGCTCAGTGACAAAAATACTTATGAGCCCCTGAAACGAGACCCAGGAAGTGGTTACAGGAAGAGGGTGATAGACTGTCTGAAGCAGTTAGAACAAGACAAGGCTATTGACCGTACCTCATACCACAGGCTATACCCAGCGGAATCTATACCAAGTCCTGTATGGTTTACCAAAGAACATAAACAGAGTGCACCTTTAAGACCAATTGTCTATATAATCAACTCACCGCATCCAGAACACCTTGGATTGTGTTGAGAAGGTGAGCGATGTCATTATGGAGGCAGATGAATCCATGGTCTTGTACGATGTTACATCTGTCTTCACTCATGTTCCAGTCACTGAAGTGTTGGAGGTAGTTCGTAAGAGATTACAGGATGACCCCAACCTCAGCAACAAGACCACTATCAGCACCGACCAAGTGTGTTTGAACTGTGTCTTAATTCCACCTATTTCACATACAAGGGTCAGTACTACAGGGAGAAACATGGGAGAGCCATGGGTTCCCCAGTTTCACCCATTGTGGCCAATTTGTACATGGAAGAAGTGGAAAAGAGGGCTTTGTTACCCTATCCTGGAACACCACCAAGTCATTGGTTCAGGTATGTGGATGACACCTGCGTGAAAATTTAATCTCAGGACCTACCACGATTCACAGATCACATTAACTCCGTGGACCAACACATCAAATTCACCAGGGAGGATATGAAAAGTGGCAGGTTAGCCTTCTTAGACTATGAGATTTCCATCAGTATTGGGGGACATTAAAAAGCTGATGTGTACCGTAAACCTACGCATACGGATCAGTATTTAAGGTTTGACTCTCATCATCCACTGGATGGTGGTTTGATCCCCCTCTGCTCCGGTCTGCAGGCTAAATATCTTTGGTCAAGATATTAAACCTACAACTTGCTCTAACCTTTTTCAGTGCTGTGAGTGAATGTTAGTTAGATCTGTACATAGAAAGAGACTACAAATCAATTTAATTCAACAAATGAACAGCCTTAAAGTAAATTTAAAAATCCACACAAAGGGAGGTGTTTGGAAAAAAATACGGAACTTTTACATTATTCCTACATGAAGGGTAGGAATAATAGAGTGGCTACATCTGAGTGATGTCTTGACAGCTTAAATGGCACAATGTTCTGTTTCAGTAATGGCCATTTAACGTGTGGGTGTGTGCAACAGTAGATGTGTTCTCTGCATGTGGGTGTGGCACGGTACATGAGTTTTATGCATGTGAATGTGTGAGGAGAAATGTTTCCTGTTAAAACAAATGTGGGTTTTTTGATGTGCTGAAAAGCTTTTTGAGAAAAGACGGAATGAAAAAAAAAATCATCACAAACTCCCTCTCCATTTTACTGTACTCTTCAAATGAGACTGGACACTAGACACCTTTTTCAGCACCACATGGCAGTTTGGATTAAAATGAGACCCCTAAAATATTTAACATTCATTTAAAATTTTGGGGGTCCCATCAAATTGAACCTTCTTGTACATAAATGCATGTACAATATGTCCTAAAATACACAAAAAATATCTAAATTATTAAAAAATTCATAATGTGTTAAACATTGTTTAAACCATAACTAATCCTTCTTTGTATGCAACAGGTGAAAATAAATATTGATCATATTACTTATTTTCTAAGTAATATTTGTAAAGGTGCTATTGACATGAAAGTCTCACCAGATGTCAGTAACGACCAATCCTATACACACATACAAAGAAATCGTACCATAGATGTCAAAAGATTAAGTTATTTGTAATCATGAGATATGACACAGGTAAAACGTATTGAACAAATGAAGTAGAGAGGTCCAAGAGGCACAGGGAGTCAAGACACAAGTTGAAATCTATCAGCATTTAGAAAGCAATCCTGCCACTTAGTGCAAATTAATATTAGCTAGTTCAGTCCCAGCTGATGGTCTACAAAATGTGTCTCAAGTCCTGGGGAAGATACCAGAGGGAGAGCACCTGGTGGCTAGGCCTTCGTCCATGGGGACTGGCCAGATCATCACGAAGAAGAGACATGGACCCACCCTCCTGTAGGCCTTACCACCCACAGGAGTCCCCATAGGGTCGGCTGCAGTGTGTGCCAGGCGGCGGCCAGGGCCAGAGACCCTTGTGGACCAATGCCTAGCTATCATGGCTTGCAATTGAGACACAGAATGTCACCTCTGTGATGGGGAAGAAGCCTTAGCATAGTGCGTGAGGTTGAGCAGTATTGATTAGATATAGCTGGGCTCACCTCAACGCATGGCCTGAGCTCTGGAACCAGTCTCCTGTAAAGGGGCTGGTCTCTGGCCCAGTCTGGTGTGGCCCTCGGTGTGAGGTGGTGGGCTGGGGTAGGTATCTTAGTTTCTCCTTGGTCACTTCCTGTATTTTAAAGTTTTTCCCACTGGACAAGAGGATTTGTTCCCTGTGCCTGACCATGACTGTCATCTACAATTATGTGTTTAATGAACTTTCATAGTGCACAGCCCTCTTCGAGTCCCTAGGTGGGGTGCTCGAGGGTGTTCCCCCTGGAGACTCTGTCATCCTTCTGGGAGACTTCAATGCTCATGTGGGTAATGACAGTGATACTTGGAGGGGTGAGATTAGGAAGAATGGCTTGCCTGATCTGTGGGGTGTTCTGTTACTGTGAAAACCACTGTTGGTCCATTACAGACAACATGTTTGAACATAAGGTTATTTACAAGTGCACCAGGACACTCTAGGCTGCAGGTTGATTATTGATTTTGTAATCGTATCATCGGATCTGCAGCAATTTGTTCTGGACACTCAGGTGAAGAGAGGGATGAGCTATCAACTGATCACCACCTGGTGGTGAGTTGGATCAGGTGGTGAGGGAGAATGCTGGATAAACCTGGCACAACTAAATGTATTGTGAGGACACTCTGGGAATGCCTAACAGAGGCCTCCAACCTTTGCCAGAACTTTGACAGCATTCTGAGGGAGACTGGGGACATTAAGTCCGAATGGAGCATATTCAGTACCTCCATTGTGGAAACTGCTGCAATGAGCTGCTGCAATGAGCTGCCTGTCTTGATGGTAACCCCTGAACCAGACGTTGGACACTTGAGGTGAACAGAGCAATCAGGCTGAAGAAGGAATCCTATCGGGCTTGGTTAACCCTGTGGGACTTCGGAGACAGGCAATGGAGGCCAAGCAGAATGTGTCCTGTACTCACAGCTTCATGTTGAGTTTGGTCTTTAATTTGTTTTTTACATTACATGTTCATTTTGTAATACATTTTCAGTGCCTATTTGTATTTTTACTGCAGTTATGTTATGTCTAATTCTATGTATTCAAGTTAAACACTACTTTGAGACATTGTTCACAGCTAAAGAATGTTGAATAAAGAATTTGGTGGTGAAAAGTGTTTTTTGTGCTAATTTAATAGCAGCTAACAAGGACCAGTCAATTTTGATTGGGAACACTAAAGTAAGGGGGGTGGGGGTGCACAAAACCGGAGGGCTAGGCTGTAGTACTGTAATTCACTATTTTTTGGCTGTCCTAAAAACTCAGCGAAAAGCCTTCAGTTGATTGTAGTTGATTGAAACTAGAATGAGAGGCCGGGCCTTCAGCTTTCAGATCCTTCTTCTGTGGAATCAGGTTTCAGGAGACAGACACCCTTTCTACTTTTAAGATCATGCCTAAAACTTTTGACAAAGCATATAGTTGGGGCTGCATCAGCTGACCTTAGTTGTGCAGCAATAGGCCTAGGCTGCTGGTTATGGAGGACCAGAAGAGTCACACGCATCAAAATAAAGCCTTTTGTGCTCAATAATGAATTGTGAAATAAAATCTGCATTAATAAATTAATTTACAAGTTCATTTTGTAATTCTTTTACAAAACATATAGAAACATTTAAAAAAACAATTGATTACTCATCCAAGTGACTTTTTCAGTACTCTCCAGTGTCATGGATGAGTGATGAAATGTTACGATGCCTCTGATAACCACTGTCTCAAGTGTCTGGGATTGGATCTTAAAACTGGATTTTTAGGTGGCAGACAAATGGTGGCACAAGCCAATCCTTGAACAGATGGGGTAAAAGCTTTTCAGGAAGTTTTTAGGACAGCCCAAAAATAATGAATTACAGTGATTCAGTCTAGAAGAAATAAATAGGTCTATCATGATGCATCTGCCAGGACCTGACCAAAGCTGTTCTCTGTTTTCGTAAACTGGTACCAAGAATTACTTAATAAAGGTCAGTGAAGTCAGAACACAGAATCAAGCCATTCCAAAGACATGTAACTCTCTTTGTAACTCTGCGCTGTGATGTTCTTTCTCGACTTTTAAGATTAGGCTTAAAACCTTTTGCTAAAGCATATAGTTAGGGCTGGTGACCCTGAATCCTCTCTTAGTTAGGCTGCGATAGGTGTAGGCTGCTGGGGATTCCCACGATACACTGAGTAGTACTTCTTTAGTCACTTTTCTCACTCACCATATGTTTATACACCTCTCTGCATTGAATCATTACTTATTATTATTCTCTGGCTCTCTTCCACAGCATGTTTTTTGTTCCCAACACCCATCCCCTTGGGGACTGTGTCTGCTTCTAAACCACCACAAAACACACCAAAAATCTGCAAAAAAACCCAACTGAAACATTACCAATAAAAAAATCACAAAGAAAGAACAATACAGTATCCACATCTGCACCAAAGAGTAACACAATGAAATGTGGATTATTAAACATTAGGTCTCTCTCTTCTAAGACCCTGTAAATCCATGAATAATAACTGATCAACAAAAAAATTTACCGTGCTATACAAAAACTTGGTCACAACAGGATGATTATGTTAGTTTAAATGAATCAACCCCCCTGAGTTACACTAACTGTCAGAATCCTCGAAGCACAGCATTTAATCTATTATTAGACTCAACTGTCTAAATATGACAAGACAAATAATCAAAGAACCTACGCACCACTTTAATCACACTCTAGATCTTGTTCCGACGAATGGCATAAAATGGAGCAGAACAGTATTTCTTGAAAACCCTCTTTTTTCCTGATCATTTCTTAATAGCATTTAACTTTACAATAATGGATTAGACGGGGGGGGGGTCGATTTACAGTTGTTGTCTTACTGAAAGTGTTGTACAGTGCAAAAAGGAAAATGCATAGACAAACAGAAAACCTCGTACACCATTTGTTCAAAAGTTTTTAAATTTAAACTTAAATTAATCTGTGTTTAGTAAACAACAACATTGGTACATTTAATGTTAAATATCCTTTAATTTTCAAAACTACACTGAAAAACAATGACAGCATCCATCCTCATCATAAAATTACTTAACAGCTAATACATGGAGGTGGAGCATTTTTCTTTTTTCTTTAAATATGCATGTATTAAAGTGACTTTAAAGTGTTTTCTTCAAACAGGACACCTGAAAAACACAAAACTGTAACAATATTTGCACATTTAAGATTATCCAGAGTACATTTAAGCTGCAAACATTGCCTTTTGATTGTTGTGCCTCAGTCAAATGCTTAAGATGTGGCTTTCATTCTGGTCTGTTCACCCATGATACAATATCCTTTAATATCCAAATATCCTGTATATGCATACAGTCAGTTTTACTTCATTGATGAATCCGAGTGAACATTTGTCACTGTAGGGTCTTTACCTTACAATATAAAGTGACTTGAGACCAGACTTGTTGACTCTCAGTGGTGCTAAAACTGAACAGCTCTAAAGGTGTTCCTGAAAGTTGGGTTTACTAGAACAAAACAGGTGGATGACCACAGACCTCTCAGCACAAGGATGACAGAACTTTTCCCCCATATAATAAATTAAAAAAACACAGAACACAACATTGAAATAGAAATAGATTAAGACAGATTACGATACCAAACGATACCAGATAAAAGTGCATTTACTGGATCTGTTCATCTCCTCTTGCTTTTCAAAGACAATGAATGAAGATGATGACAATGGGATGTACCTGCCACTGCAGGACAAGAGCCTGTGGTAGCTGTAGGACAGGGTGGTACAGAGGAGAAGCTAAACGTGCATGTACGAGACGCTCTGCTTCACTTCTTGTGCTCCAGTTAATGATATTATTCTAACCCCTTGTCATGTGCTTACAGGAATACTGCTGTTAGATGCCAAATGAAATAGAAATGATAAAGTTTGTTTACTTTTGCGGTTATTCTGTGTTTTCATGTGGGCTGTTACATTTTTCACATCACTGAAATGCTAACAGTTGTCCGGCTGTGGGATAAATCTCCTGTAGTGTAAATCACTTTACAGAAGTATGGACACACCACATTTTTGTGTGGTGACATCACACGACAAAGACACAGCGTTTATTACTGGGCAACAAAAGTTTGGTGAAAAATGTCATTTAGTAATGACTGCTTAAATACAACAAACCGTGATGCACACACATTATAGGCTTGAAATACTTTTTTAAATGTAGCAACATTTGAAAATATGTACAATATTAATAATAACTACAATTAGTAATTATTATTATTTGCAACAGCTAAGTTTTTGGTAAGACTCTCCTGGAACAGAGGGGTACAAACCTATGTAAAGTATAAATTTGTTTTTGTAATCTCCAATGTCTTAGTGGGGATAGGTTAATTGGATAACCCAAATTGTCACTAGGTGTGAATGTGCGAATGAATGTGAGTGCGAATGGTTGTCTGTCCCTGTATGTTGGCCCTGCGACAGACTGGCGACCTGTCCAGGGTGTACCCCGCCTCTCGCCCTATGACAGCTGGGATAGGCTCCAGCGCCCCCCGCGACCCTGAAAAAGGATAAGCGGAAGCGAATGGATGGATGGATGGAATCTCCAATGTGGAAAGTTAAGGGGTGAGGTGAAACTTGAGTGGCCATCCATTGCTAGTGCGAGGCTTCAAAGCACACTGAGGAATGCCTGGTTGAAGACTGTGGCCTGTGCCATTTCTTCCCTTCGCAGGGCAACTTCCTGCTCCCGTGCCTCATTGAGCGGCAGCTGGATGTGGTGTTCCCACTGATCTTGGTTTAACACATCTCCATCTGCCTGCATCTCCATGGGAACACTTGTGAGGTCAGGTTTGGACTTCTTTCTCTATAGTATGAAACCTATCATCGTGTCCTACCAGCGATGAGCAGTTTCTGTGTCATGCCAAAAGGTGTAGCTGTCGACGCCGTCAACCAGAACTGAATCACAGACAAGGGAGGTCAAGACTAATGGTGGTGGACGAAAAACCCTCACATGTAGAAAGCATTTCTGAAACATAAGACATGCATAGCATAAGGACACACACGACATGACATTACAACATAAATGAAAAAATGAACCTGTATTAATACTAGTGTTCATTAGATGTTGCTCATATGGCTTTACCATGACCCCTCAGAAGAGGAAGTTAATGCACAGCTAGCGCAAAACAACATGCAGAGCATGGAGTTTTTATTGCAGCAAGTAGACAATGGCGTTATTAAAAAATGTCCAGGCTTGTTCAAAGTGAACTCAACACGCGACAAGTACTATTATGTAGCGGCAGTCCTTCATCAAAGCACCTGATCAACAAACCTTGTAGTTGCTCCATACTCTGCTGTTTGTTTTACCAGCAAAAAGTCTGCAGCAAGTCTCCAGAACTTGCATTAAAAGGGTTAACTGATGGCACGACCATAGCTGGACTGGCCATTGGGCATACCGGGCATTTGCTCGGTGGCCCGGTGACTTTTTTTTTTCTTTTGTAACGGTATAAACAATGAAAGGTGGTGGATTGGCCAGATGCTGGTCGGTGTGTAAAAATAACTCAGTTGTTTGTTGGTGGCTATGGCACTGCTTCCTCAGATTCAGTAACATTAGCAAGTGGTGGAGGCCAGCAGGTGGATGAGAGAAAGGGGAGGCAGGAGGACAGACCCGAGGTGGCCGCCAGTCCGAGTCTCAGGTGAACTGAACTACAGGTAAGAAGTTATGACTGCAGTCTATCTGGGTCAGATACAACCCAAGTTTAGGTGGAGTTTATTTTTGTTGTGCTGACTTTTTACAGTCAGTTACAATAACTCGTACTGCGTGCTAGCTAGCATGACGGAGTTTCTATACAGCTGGGTGGGTGCTATGATGTTACTGATAGTGAACTTTATTTTATTCATAAGGTTAGTTAGTAGAGTTTCCAACCGTCCTGTAAAAAGACGGAATCGTCTGGTATTCAGAGAAAATATTAGGCGTTTCGTGTTGAGGTGAAAAGGAACAGTTTGTCCCGGACTTCAGCTACAATGAAAAAGACAAAGCTGGAGTTATTCTGTGTCTTTGCTGCACAGCTGCCTCTTCTTCTCTCATCCTCTCCCCTCCCTCTCCTGTTGCTACTTCAATCATGAAACTGATCAATGATCAGCTGATCGTCTCTCTTGTTTGTTTATCGCCCACTTTGCGCCAGAAAGAGGAAACCAGCCAGCGGATGTCGCGCTAAACAACAGCAGCACATTTAAGCTTGATCAGCTGTTGTTAGAATTGATTTAATATTAATTTCTAGTATCAGCTGATGTTTGCTGGAGCCACAGCTGTAAAGCTGCTGGTCAGGATGGTTTGGTTATCTGGTGAGAGGGAAACATGAAGATGAAACCAGGAGATGTCCTTACTGAATCATCAGAGCTGAACAGGTGATGGAGAAACAGGTTTACCTTTTAGGTCACATGGATGAGTTGAAGTTATGAACTGTTTCTGAGAGACAAATAACACCAGGATCCTTTTCTAAGCAGCTGACAGCTGGTAACTGTGCAGTGGCGGGTCTAGCAAAGTGTTGCCAGGGGGCCAGGTAGGGGATTAACAGGGAAAGGTGGGCACAAAGAAATACTTTCTTATTCTGATTTAAAATGTTTAGCTGTTATTAAATAATTATCTGAATCTTACAACCAAAGTTTTTATCTGACGTAAAATGTATAGAAATCATACATACAACATCGAAGCAGCTGGAATCCACAGCTGTGCGTGTTCATGGAGCTGCATGCTCACCTGCTGGACATCACCACCTGACAGGTTTAACTGTCTTCAGAACATTGCAGAGGCCTTATTGACAGTGTTTGTCTCTACATGTCTGTGTGAGCAGATTTTCTCTCACATGAGTCCTCAGGTAGCCTCTGAATGCTGGACACTGGGAGACCTGTGTCTCTGAGTGGGAGACCAGAGATCACATTAACATGTGTGTCTCTGTATTAACAAACATGCCATATTGGCCCAGTTTATTTTTCTTATCATTGTTGTGAGGAGACCATAAATAGCATTTACATTTTCTGTTGTACAGTTCATTTGTTGTTATGGATAAAAAGTCTTTTTTTCTTTCATAATAGCTGATAACTATTCGCTGACAGCTGCCAACATCTGCAAACAAATATAATTCTATAAAGTTGTTCTATATAGTGTGTAACTGTTCATATAGAGCGTTATTAAATTTATTGCTAATGCAATCATATGGCACACTGACTTCTGAGGAAATTTTAAATGGTACTCGTCATCAGAAAGGTTGCCCACCCCTGGTCTACACCATCATAACATCTTTTTTTTCAGCAGCATCAAACCACCAAATGTTGATATGCTCGCTTATCTTCATTGTAACCATCACATTCTCTTTTAAAGGCTTACAGACACAAATTTACTAATTCACGTGCGCACCTTAACACACAGAAACACATCTACAAAAAGTCATAAAGCCTTCTAAGAAGAAAGAGTAAAATGATTTTTTATGCTTTAGTTTAGATTCTGTATTTACTTTATTTAGTTTTAGTTTGAGCCTACTAGACAGTATTTTATATATTTTGGTATTTAAGGAAATCTTTTCTTTAGAAATTTAATATGGCACATAAATAAGCATTTGTTTTTTGTTTTGTTTTTTGACAAATGAACCACACGGCAGATGAAACAAAAACCATAGCGATTTCTAAAATGAAAACCAGTGAGCAGTTCATTTGAAAGAAGTTTGTCTTTTTCCTCTTTTGAATATTTATTATTGCTAATTAATAAGATAAAAGTATTTTTTATCGGATTACTCAATTAATCGATGGAATAATTGATAGATGAATGGATTACTACAATAATTGAGAGATTAATGGATTACTACAATAATTGACAGATGAATGGATTACTACAATAATTCATAGCTGCAGCCCTGTCGTAAACAGCAGCTGAGGGAATAAGGATCTGTGGAAGTTTCAGAAACAATGCTAACAGATGCTAACGCTGCTTAGCTAATGACCCAGCATAAAACTGAAAAATGCGACTTACCTTGCAACACAGACGGTACGGCATTATCAAACTCATCCATGTTTTGACAAAAGTCCTTTGGCTTGGTTCCTGAAGCCTCTGCTCACAACACCTAACCCACAGAACCTGGGGGTAAAATCTCACAGCTGGAGTAAGATCATTTAGCTAAAGTGATAATGTTAGCTAGCTTGCTAACTAGTAGCCCACACAAAATGCAACTTTATCTTAATACCACCATTGTACAATAGTATTTTTCTCAGAATTAAGTAATTAACTTTAAGGCTGACTCTCCTACACCAAAACAGGGCCATAAATTCCGATGTTAGGAAATGGTCTTACACGCCTTCCCTCTTCTTTAACTCTACAGGCCTGACCAGAGAGCAAGTGGTGGTTGCCATGGTAATGGGAGTGCCTGCAAAAAGGTCATCTCTATATAAGGAGATGTCCAGAAAACTGCAGAAGAAGAAACGTGAACCAATATCAGACCTGATGCCACCGTCAACTCTTTCGACCAATCATGTCAACGTTCTGTTTCAGTGACCGCACTAAAAGTGTATACTGTCTGGGTGTGGTGCTCTTTGTTCTTTTGGGCTCTCCTGAGTGAGCAAAGAAACACGGCAGCTGTTTTTAACTTGAACCTTGAATTGCGTAATAATTTTAAGAAAATACACTTTGAAAAAAAAAATGGCCTGTATTTGTATAGCGCTTTTCTAGTCCCTAAGGACCCCAAAGCGCTTTACACAACCTGTCATCCACCCATTCACACACACATTCACACACTGGTGATGGCAAGCTACATTGTAGCCACAGCCACCCTGGGGCGCACTGACAGAGGCTCACTTTGAACATATTTGTCTTCGGTCTCTCAAAAATGAACCCAACAATGGCTGTAAACAGGATTTTTGAGTTTTTAACTCATTCTTTCATTCGTGTTGTGTTATATGTAGTGCCGACGTAGGACAGTTTTTCCAATTTCATTGTACTACTGTACTATGTATGACTGTGCAATGACAATAAAGAGTTATCTTATCTTATCTTATCTTATTAAACAGATGCACTCTCTGTATTTGACCAATGGAAGCCCTCCAAGAGGATGGAGGATCCGCGCAACATCCCGCTCTTAGGATCATAACATTTTGGCCTATCAGTCTATGCCAACTGTAGTACTACAACAACCAGTACTGTGGAAATATCAACTGGTGCATCATTGCCTGAAGCACAGGAACCTCAGGTGGTTGACATCCCTGTCATGGTAACTGTTACACTAATTAAATAAAATGTATTGTGACTCCTGATGATGAATCTACCCATGTCTAACTCCTCTTATTTGGTCCCTGTATTACTTTTACTCATTTTCTGCATTTTTAAACCAGGGTGTAATGATGTCACGGTCGCAGTGGCAGACCGTGTGGAGAGTGTGTGGAGGACTCAGGTGCAGACACAGGCGTGGACACGAAACTGGGTTGAACGAAAAGCGAGCCTTTTATTGTGGCTGATGAATACAAAAGAAGCAAACAAGAATAAGGGCAGCACAAGAGCAATAACTAAACAGAAACCTAAACTGGGAATAAACTATGGTAAGACTATGACGTAGAATACAACAGACCGGGCATGGAAACACGGAGGGTGGGAACACAGACGACGCGACACAGACTGTAAGAAACACAGAGACTAAATACACATGAGGGATGATCAGGGGAAGTGGCCACACATGGGAACACAGCTGACATAGATAAACATAACAAGACATGGCAGGAGTAAACAACACTGACGGGAGACTGTCAAAGTAAAACAGGAAGTACACAGGTGCAAGCAGGAGGAGAGAGAGAGCACGGGCATAGTGGGCTGGGGAAACATGGAATGAAACGAGGAGGGGAGATGAGGGCTCACAGATACACAGAGGGGCACACAGGGGGTAAAAGCCATGAAGGGAAAACACTTAGGGAACAACACAACAGGGCAACTCAGAAAACATGGCCTAAATAAGGAACAAAATACAAACATACATGAAAACTAAGACTACTGGGCCCACATGGCCCAGGACCATGACAAATGAGATCTTGTGATATTGTACCACCTCATTATTTCTCATCAAACTGTTCTCAGAGAAACTTTTCCCAGAGGGAAATTGAGTTAAGTGCTTGGCACTGTTATTAAATTACAGATCCTGTGATCTGATGTGATACCGCTCTTTGGTTGGATTGTAAATCACCAGGATTAAATAAAAAATAAATAATTAGACAGAACAGCAGTTCAGTCTAAAGAGGAGAAGGTGGCAGCTATGCTGCAGCTGTCAAAAGTTTTAGAACACCTCAATTTTTCAAGTTTTTATTGAAAATAATGCAGTTTAATGTCTCATTGCACTCTGAAATGAACGCATAGTACAAATAACCAGTTGGAGGTGAAAAAAAAAACTCATCCTGTCAAACCTGCAGCTTGAAGTTTTCTCTTCACAGCTGAAACTGAGACTATTAAGCTGCTTGAAGCTGATGTCCTGTGAGCCACCATCACACAAGCTGCTAACTCTCAGAAACTTGTCCTCTGGTTCACTCGTGTCTTTGGGTCTGCAGACCTCTTCCTGTCACAGTTTGTTTCTGAGCCTTTGATGGTGAAGGAAACTGGACTCACTGACACCTTGACTTTGTTTGCAGTTTCTCTGTAGCACAGACCGACATTTATAAGTGTTATGGTCTGTCTCTCTTCCATTGTTTTTCTTTTCTCACCATTTGTGTACCAACACACTACTTTCTGCAGTACGATACTGTTCAACTGATGCTTACTAGGGTATGGCACCACAGTGTGTCCAACACTGCTTTTATGCAGACAGAGGGGGAAGTAATCCAGAAAAGTTGAAACACCTGTAGGAATTAGTAGCTGCAGCTTTCAAGACTTGATAAACCTCCACTGCTGCAGAACAGCTTTAAATTGTTAACTCGTTTTGTGTTCCCCTGAAAAGGGCCTTTTTGTATAATTCTAAATGTATATTATGTTTTAGTTTTGAAAAGAGCCCAAACTTTGTTCTGTCTGTACTGAAACCTCTAGCACACATCCCTGTGGATTCTTTTCCCCAGAGTCTTTCCCCCACTGAAAAGAACTATGAAGGCAACACTAACCATTAAACAGGTTTTAAAGGCAGAGCATTCTGTAGCTTTGCCTAAATTACAAACCGCCATTAAAACAGCTCATGTATTGGTCCAACATGTCTTTCTCAGTAACAGACTTTCAGTAGATATAATTTCTGAGAAAGGCCCAGAGCTCTATTTGCAAGTTTGGAAAGCTTTCTATGGGGCACTACGAGCAAAGATTAATATAGACTCTTTCCATTTCCATTTCACCACAATCCAGTGATTAAATGGAAAGGTAGTCCTATGTTGTATCCTCCTTCCATGAATAGAATACACTCATATGAACTTTTCAGCTACCTTTTGCGGTTTCTCTCAGATATAAAACTCCATTGTTTCTCTCTCAAGAAAGAAGCAGCTGTCTCCTCAGTCAAACAACATTGTAACACGAAAGCTACTGTGTGTGTCCAACATACACAGTCTGACACAGCAGTTTCAGTTTACACAGGTTTTTTATTTTGCTTTGCACACTTCACTTCCCAGCTTCAAAGACGTGGCCCTCGGCTTTATGGCAATGTTGCTCTAACTATGGCTGTCACCAGAACACTGCCACTTCTTGGCTGTCAATCACAGCTTCTTTCATCCCCACATCCCCAATCATTCCCATGCCTTTCAGACTAGTACTGAGGTGCTAGTCTGAATTCCCTAAAGAACCAGTAATTCATGCAGCTCCTTTAATGTTCAAGTATTGAATAAGGTGTTCTGGTCAATATCTTTTACGCATGCTAACTCGGGAGATGATCTGAAACAGTGTCTGTGCCAGACTTCCTGCAAAATTGCTGCACAGGGGTACCACCAACAAATAATATCAGACCTCATGTGGCTGACCGTTAGGTTAAAATAAGCTGCCTGTGAGATGCCTTTTCAGCACAAATGACTCAGTTTCTCTCTCCAGTGTGTCATACTAGCCTGTGTCTAATTATCACAAAGGACTGTTCTGCCTCAGCACACACCATGTGACCCTTAATGTTTATTTCTTAAACCAACGTTGAGTGTAGAGTGTCACCAAAGGACTGCTCCAATGGAAAATATTCCTTGGATTTAATCACAGGAAGTGGCAGGGTCTCCTGAAAATGCCCTATGGATTTCTCCTCCCTGGTAGCAGTGTTGGACAGCCTCAGCACAGATACCACAAGTCGTTCCCAGTCATAAGTGCTGCCCCACCAGCTTATTAAACTCAGCCCAATCCATCCCAAGAAATAAGGGGTGACCAAGAAAGGAGCTAACCACTGCCCCAACTCTATACATTTTAACCTAACACCACTGGATATTTGTGAAAGTCACTATGTACACACCTAATTCCCACCCAACAACAACCCAGGCTGAAGCAGGGTTTGGTAGAGTCCACCATAGCCTATTGTGTACCACACCTTGGCACCTTACCAGAACTTTGTACGTCCTTCCAGTCTGGGCCGGCCACAAGGATCCCACCTCTATGAGCTGACACTCCCTGCAGAAGAGTTCGGGCTGCGTGCACTTCCAGCTCTCCTGCGCTGATGTTTGCACAAATTCACGTGAGTCAGGAGCAACACCTGTTCCCACTGAGATCTGAGGAGAAAAACAGTGCGAAGAGTGTTAGTGTGAGGCATCCATGCCAGATTGTGGGGGTCGGATGTTCCTTCCTCTGTGCCAGGCCACCATGCTGCTAAGTGGTACTCTGGAAAGGTCATGGCCCTCTCCAACACACCAAATCCACTCCAGTCACCAGGAGCCTCATCATCTGCTCAAGGACCATTAGCTCCAGTATAGGCAATGACTCAAAAACCTCGTTCCCTGTCTCCAGATGACAGTTACAGAAGCAGCAGCAGTGGTTCTGCAGTGGTTCTGTGGGTCATCCACCTCGCCCATCCTGTGAGATGTGGTGGACATGGTTGGAGAGAGCGGTGGCGGGTGAGCTAAGTATCAATATATAATCAATAAATAAATATCAATAAATAAAATTGAACTGAATTTTCAAAGCTCTCCAGAGATGGTTAATTGGGATGAAGTCTTGGCTCTGGCTGGACCTGTCAAAGACATTCACAGAGTGGTCCCAAAGCTATTCCGTTGTTATTTTGGCTCTGAGGTTATGGCTATTGTTTTATTAGACAATGAATAATGTATGTCTTGCCATGCATATTCATCTTTATTTATAGTACCTTATCACCCTATTAGAGTACTTAGCTCTCACACTGCAGGCTTACTTAGAATAGAATAGAATAGAATAGAATAGAATAGAATAATCCTTTAATTGTCCCACAAGGGGAAATTTGGTTGTATCAGCAGCAAAAAAAAAAAAAAAAAAAACACATATAAAACAGAACAGAAACACAATTTTTACATATTTACATCATGGACAATAGTTACCAAAGCAGAGTACTGTACAGTTATTAAAATTAGAATACAGATAAGCGAGCTACAATCCAGCTATTAGCAGCTGTGCGCAGGACTTGTTGTTCCTAGAGTATTTAAAAGTAGAATGGGAGGCAGAGCCTTCAGTTTTCAGGCCCCTCTTCTGTGGAACCAGCTTCCAGTTTGGATTCAGGAGACAGACACTATCTCTACTTTCAAGATTAGGCTTCAAACTTTCCTTTTTGCTAAAGCATATAGTTAGGGCTGGACCAGGTGACCCTGAATCCTCCCTTAGTTATGCTGCAATAGACGTAGGCTGCCGGGGGATTCCCATGATGCATTGAGTTTTTCCTTTCCAGTCACCTTTCTCACTCACTATGTGTTAACAGACCTCTCTGCATTGAATCATATCTGTTATTAACCTCTGTCTCTCTTCCACAGCATGTCTTTATCCTGTCTTCCTTCTCTCACCCCAACCAATCACAGCAGATGGCCCCGCCCCTCCCTGAGCCTGGTTCTGCCGGAGGTTTCTTCCTGTTAAAAGGGAGTTTTTCCTTCCCACTGTCGCCAAAGTGCTTGTTCATAGGGGGTCATTTGTTGGGTTTTTCTCTGTATCTATGAAGCGCCTTGAGGCATCTTTTGTTGTGATTTGGCGCTATATAAATAAAATTGAATTGAATTGATTGTTTTCTGGAATCACCTTGAAGCAGTTAAAAGTCTTTTTCCATGGCCCCACCGAACTCATCCCACATCAAAGTTTTGTTTGAGCCACTGTCCGAGTTGCATTCCGCTTGGCCTCCCATGTACCTCTAACTCTAACTCCAAAATCCTATAGGCCCAATCCTATACCCAATGAGGGTTTCTACAGACAAAAATATAGATGTGCCATGGGCTTCCCAATGTGAAAGTGGAAACTAAAGCTCTTGGCTCTTTCAAAGAGTGAACCTATTCACTGGTACAGATATGTTAATAACACCTGGGCCAAATCAAAACCAAAGAAATATAAGCTTTCACTGTTCACATCAACTCAGTGGATAGAAACAAAGTTCACCAGGGAAAATACAAAGGATAATAGTTTGCCGTTTCTGGACTGTGCTGTGCACATTGAGGAAAATGGAAACCTCAACAGTGAAGTTTACTGGAAGCCCACATACACAGACCAATACCAACTCTTTGGAACGTGGAGTAATCAGGAATCTGCAACACTGGGTAGAAATGTTCCTTCTAATCCAGAAGGGAAGGAAAAGGAACAAACACATAAAGAAAGCTCTTAAAGCATGTTTATCCCAATTAGGCTTCCATCAAATTAGCAAAGATGCACAGTAAAGAAGCTGAGACACCAATTAAGTAGAAACAGAATGGCAAACGAAACAACACTGTCATCCCTTATGGGGCAAGTTTTTTCAGACAAACTCGGGCAAATATTCTCCAAGCATGACATCCCAGTGCACTCCAAGCCTAGCTACACACTGAGACAAAACTGGTTTATCCCAAAACTCCAAAAAACAAACTAAACAACGTAGTAGAAGAGCCACCTCGACGGGACAAGACTCAGATGCACAAGGTCACTCTTTTGAGGACACCATTGTTCTCATTTTAGATAGCATGAAAGAAGAGTGACAGAAGCCTACTTCTGTCTACTGTGAACGATCATTCTTGAATAGAAGGGGCGGTTTATGACACTGTCTGCCACCTACAATCTAGTTTTGAGATCTTTCCCCAGGCGCTTGAACGCCCACTCACAGCTTGTGTCAGTTGATCTCAATAGATCACATGATAGAGAGAGGCAAGTCTCACAATGGCTTCACCGGAAAGCTTTGCTGATAATGACAACAACCTTTTTCACACCTTGGCTCAGGTAATAAGGCACATGATCAATAGTATGTCAAGGACCGTCTTAAGGGACAAGTCCCATTGCTGCTCCCACTAAATATCTGGGAATCTCCAGTATTTGGTTATTGTTATTTATATTGTCCTCTGTGTCCACGCTTCGTGTTATTGTTTGTTCTAGTACAATGTGATCACTGCTTTTGTCCTTGTCACATGACCAAATAGTGTCTCTGTATGTTTTTACTAACTTGTGTGTAACACCAACCTGCCAGAGTGTCTGCAGGTGGAAATTAGTCCAAGACTATAATCTGGGATATTTACATTTGTTAAAATGTTCATTATCATGTATTGCCCCTCTTTCTAAATAAAACAAAGTAAATAAATTGAACAGAAGAAGCTTCTCGGATGAGAGGTGAAACATCTTCAAGTAACTTGAAGTCCAGTTGCCTTTCTTTTCAAGGTCCTAGGATCATTGAGGTGTTGGTTTTTGTTTATCTCTAAATTTTGTTTTTCAGTTGACTTTTAGCTAATACAAAATCAAATACTGTGGAAACTCAGTCTGGCTTTTTACCAGGGAAAACATATCATTAGCTTCTGAAACAATGTCAAGGGCTAACAATATAAACTGAATCTAAAACACACATTGATTTTATGTGTGATTTTCAGCACCAGGAGTGCTGGTGGAGAATGTAGGGAAGACAAGAATCAAAGATGGCGGGTATAATTAACAATGAGTAGAAAGAAAAAGGAGAGTAAACAACCAGAGCAGTGAGAAGTAAGAGCATGAGAAAGAAGAACGAACTGAGCAGGAAGGAGATAACAAGAGGGATAAGAGTGAACATGTGATTGTAAAAGGGAAAGACAAGCTTTCTAGTTTTCCTCCATGTCAGTCAAAGAACCACACAGACCGAGTGACAGAGAGAGAAGCTTAGTATTTGACATGATCACCATAAATGGGTGACAACGTCGCACTTAACAGTATATCTCTATCTCTCCTTTCCTTTCCCTTCACTCGGCATCTACAAACACCTAATCATGCTGCCTGCTCTATCATTTCTCTCATTATCACTTTCTCTCTTCTTCCTCAGACTTTGTCTATATAGACCACTTCCTCATGCCCTGTCTCACCCTCTCAAACTGTTTGTACACCTTTTACTTGGTTTAGATCAGGGTTGGCTTACGCTCACACCATAAATGAACTGGAACCATGCCATGACCACCTCCTCCAGAAGGTCTATGTGCAGATGTGAAAACAATAATCGCACATGGGTGGTGACCAAAACAAACACAACAATGGGTAAAACAAAACAAAGTATGATTTAAACAGACCAAACATGGCAGGTGTCAAAATACTCTCAAACTTAATCTGAACAAGGCTGAAACTCCATGATAATATACCCCCACCAACCTCCCAAAAAGTACCAATTTCTTTTAATTTAAAGACGCAAAGAAGTAAAATGTTCAGTTTGAATGCTTAGAAAAGATCCAAACACATATGGCTTTTAAAAAATAAACACCAATTCCAAAAATGTATTGTTCGTAGATTAAACTACTGTACTTGGGGATCTTATTGTTTCATCCTACATAGTGGTTATGACACTCAGTAGTCCTCTGCTTCCTCCTTCCAGTTACCATACAGTCCGAGGGTGCTGGACTTGGGGTGAAACCCTTCATGCATGGTAAGGAGCTTTCTTGTCTTCGTGTCAGTGGCTTCCATCCTGTCACGGCCGAGGCTGACTCAAAAGAAAAAGGACTGAAATGCATGACGCAGAGAACGTTTAAGTGACAACGTTTATGTTTCACAAAAAGTGTAAGCGAACAAAACTAGAAAACTGAGTCATGTCTTTAACTTGTGCTAAGAACAAACACCAAAACTAAGGGGCGCTTATGCGACCTGAGCTATGTAAACAATCAGTGATTTTTCAACTGTGGAAACTGCAGTTCTGTGGTTTGGGCCAAAGGGAGAGTCAGACTGGATGGCTGGGTCCTGGGAAGGGATCAGAGTCACTGAAACTAGAGTACATATGTTTAGGTATGGTTCCGGAGGAATACTGGCAGCTATTTGTTCTGAATAGTCCTTTGCACTGCTTACTTGCCGCAGGTGGATCAGTAGCATGAGGGGAGAGTGGTCTGGGTGAGTGGTAAGTAATCCGAAATTCCTGACATTGAGGCAGGGAGGCAGGCAGGTGCGTGGAGTGAGTAAAACTGTGAGACTGTCGGGAGGTCCAGCGTCCGGATGGGGGTTCTATGGCAGAGATTTGCTTCTGGTAATCTGGTGTGTAGCTATGAAAGAGAGATACAAGGTGAGACAAGGTAGTTTGCTAAGACGTGTACAAAACACAGAGCTGGCCTGCAGCAACTGTGGTTAGCTGAGAATCTAGCGAAGA